AATGCTTCAATTTTTTTTGGTTTCTCAATGTAGTTATAATATTTCAAGAATAAAGTTTACTAGTACATAAAATTATGGAAAATGACTAAAATTCCACCTTTAAGTTTTCTTATTACATTATCATAAACTTTAATATTTACATATAAAAATATAAGATGAAATTAATGATATTAATAAACATTGAGTATGGAATGTATTGTAATTTTTATCAAATTTAGAGAGTAGTTTTCTAAAATTAGTTGACTTAACTATTGTTATGATATTTGTTAATATAATATAATGTGAACCTTTAAACTTTAAATAAGACACACATTGCTTATCTAGAGGTGCACATTACGAATTGGAGAGAAGAGGTAATGGAGGGGAACCGAATCCGAAATATAATCATCCTTAAAACTTACTTATACTAAGAATTTGTAAAATTTAAACTAAAAGTTAAATATCTCAAATAGATATTTCTTTCCTCTCTTTCAAAGTAAACGATGTTTTAAAATTTCAAGAAGGGACTATATTATTCTTTTAAAATTACCTTTCTTTATATAATCAACGACTATTAATTAGCTTTTCTTTGATCAGGAATAAGTTAGTAAAAACCCTCTTTTTTTTTTTTTAGAAACTAGGAGAAATCCTAGACTAAAAACATCACTTATTCTAGGACAAAGAAATTAGAAACAGTAACATTTAAGGGGTGTGACATAGTAGTCAGTGAAGTGACTGAGAATCCTAAAAGTTCAGATTCAAGACAAAAAAAATACCAAACGTTTCTTCTCATTTGTCCTATCAAAACTCAATAAAGACAAAAAAAATTAGGTAATTCTTCTCATCTTTTCTAACGTAAGTGGGCAAGAAGTAACAAATATCCTGTGAAATTGGTCGAGTGCGGAATTGTTTTGTGAGTGGGTGTGGGATAGGATTTGGGGTTTGGGGATGTGGACAATTACCAGATTAATGGCCTAATATTTTTATGAGCCCCCACCAATTCTCAGCAACATGTGAACATTTGCCCCTAATCACAACTCACTAGTAGATTTTGGTCTTCACTACTAGACCAATAATCTACTTAAAAGTTGCAATTTTGGACTTCGGCAAAATTTCACATTATATAGTCATGTTACTTATGGTGCACAACTTCCTCAAAATTAATGCTTTGGATGGTGCAATGAAAAAAAATTAAAGGATAATTATCTCCAGCATTTAATATAAAATATATATGGAACATTTACTTTCACCTAATCTTAAATTACACGTGTCTCATGTACAGTGGTCTATTTAGCTTTCAGCTAAGGTAAAATAAATATCAAGGGTACTGTATAATAATATTGTACAACTGACAATTCGAGAATATATATGATACTATTTGGCACAAATTAATGCATTAATCATAGATGATGTTAGCCGTGACGAATTTAAAATGTAACTTATCATTAATTAACGGAAGAAAAAAATTATTATATCTTTATATATTAAAAATTTCTGATAAAATATATTTCTTACATTATCGATCATAAAATCAGAGGAGGATTTGTTAATAAATATATATTTATAGATATATACATTCAGTAGATATGAATTTCATGATCTTTTCGTATGTTTATTTTTTGGACAAATTATAGAAATACACACCTTTTGTTTCACTTATTTCTATTATTCTTAATTACTTTTTAAAATTTCCAAAACCCCTTATTTCTTTTATGTATCCAAGCTACATATTAATGTATTTTGACTGTATATTATGGATTCGAGCTAGTTTTTTTATGTATCCGAGATAGTATGTAATGTATTCAAGTTACATATTAATATATTCGAGCTTCAATTATTGTATTCAATTTTTTTAGTTTTTAAGGGATTAATGTAATAAAAAATTTATGAGGGATATATTGTAATTTCATATTAAAAGTATGAGATTTTTTTTACGTAGTTTACACTTTTTATATATATAATATTTAATTTCTTAGTGAAAGTTTTGATTGTGGCATTTATTATACAAATATGCTTAACTCACATTATTAGTTTAAATTAATTCAGCTATTGACATCTACCAATTTCTAATTAATTTTCAAAAATTTCCATAATTTCACATTTGACTTGTTGTATTGCACCTATTAATGATGCAATATGTGTAGCTTCTACCTTCTTAGAAGATTGTCTAGCAAATATAGTAATGTATAGAACACTATATATATAAAAGCTATGTCATTATGGTAAAAATTAAAAAAAATAATTCAAGTTCAAGAATATATTAATTAATTTTTTACAAAATTACCCCCCTTTTTTTAGTGGATTTTATTTCAACTATTACCCTTCTTTGCCTGAACTTAGGGCCTAGTTGTCTTTGTCCACTTGGTTTTATGTATACTCTAGAGCTACTGTGGAATATACAAAGGACATATAATATGTGACACTGCAACCATCATATTTGATATAATTTCATAGCGATGGTGACTTCGACTTGTCCTTACTGTTTCACATTAGGCCAAAACTTGTATAGTATTAACTAATTTTCATTGCATACATCATATCAACACATTTCCGCTGATAGAAGGTATCTCACATTGGATCGGGACGATATTTTTGAAGACTCTTAAATTATATAGGTTTATTTCAACTATGTCATTTTCCTGAGGTACCTCAACTATGTCAAATATATAAATAGATTCCTAAACTTGTTTGATTTTTTTTCCTGAGGTACCTCAACTATGTCATTTTCCTATTGAATCATTGAACCGCCGATAGTTTGTTCCTTTTAAACAAACACTGTTGGCTGATCTGTAATCAAAATTTTGAAGGGCACTGACAGAAGATACATATGTTTTTCCAGAACTCATTAGTCCAATTGACAGTGAAAATGTTCGAGAATGATGATGTTTTATTTCAAGTCATTTGAATACATTAGAATATAAATGAGACTAACACAGTTTGTCATCATTCTTTAGTAAAAAAAAATTACAATACGAACACAATCAAAGGCATTTACAATAGAATAGCCGATCAAAATCAACTAACGATGTTTAAAAGGAACAAATTACGGGTGGTTCAATGATTCAATAGGAAAATAACGTAGTTGAGGTCCTAAGGGGGAAAACCCAACAAGTTTAAGAATTTGTTTATGAGTTCGATCAATTAGAACGAGATCCTTAGTAATATTATTTTCAAAGTTTTACTTAGGTCAAAAACTAATTTGACAACTTCTTGATATTTTCTTCCTTTCTCTCTAGATATTTATTTTTTCTCACGTATAGAAAAAGGTATGAGCCAGGCACAATAGATTCGACAACAAAACCCTACTGTTTTCTTGTTCTATTTTTGGTTCATTGAGAAAAAGATTAAATAAGCATTTAAAAATCTTTCAAATAAACATTATTAATCTTCAATAATATAGCCCTAAGAAGTTGACACTATATGTGCTCCTCTTAGATAAGGTTGATAACAAGTCGATAATTTTTTTTTTTTTTGTAAATTTTAATATTTGTTTGATGCTACATAATTCACTTTAATTAGTAGGGTTCATATATATATATATATATATATATATATATATATATATATATATATATATATGCTAATACTACTATTTGTGTGAACTTTACCAAAGTATAATATAAACTACTAGTATAATGCACTACTAGGTGACTTATTTTTGGTAAAAATTGAAGTTAATTTGTTTTGTATGGAACCAAAGAAGGGTGCTCAATTACATCAACATTAATGGTTTGGTACCGTCCAAGACTTTGTAATAAAGACAGATATTTTCATACCAAATTTTGGCCTTATAAACATCAATCATATATAACAAAGTTGTCTAATAAATTGACCTTTCATATTTAAAATCAATGCATCTTTAAGTACGATGATCATATTTGACTAACTCTAAGCTCGGCCTAAGATACTATTTGCACTAATGAATAGTCATTATACTTAATCAACATCCATGGATTAGAAAAAAATGGTTAAGAATTATAATCAATTAGGCATAATTTAACCTTAAGAATTAACTTATGAGTCGTGAGAATATTCATTCAAAATGTTTTTGACTTTGCACTAAATTATATATATTATATTTATTCAAATGTTTTTGACTTTGCACTAAATTATATATATTATATATACAGATTAATCATTAATTAATCAAAATGAGCGTCGTTGAGATTGCTTTTGACTCTTTCTTAAAATTGAAACAAAACATTATAATACTTATCCTTTTTGACTTGAAAAAAAAAAACACGTTCCATTTGAAATAGGCAATTTTTCTGGTATTTCTGACTATTCATCAAAGTAAAATCATGCAATCTAAGACCACAACTCCCTTTGTTGGCCATATCAACAACAACAATAATACCCAAAAAAATCATTGAATCGTTAAATCATAATTGAATAGCTTTATATTTAAAATATCTCGCGTTAATAAAAATTCGAAAAGAATCACATACCTTAAACCTGTGATTGTGAATTTGTGATGTAGACTACGTACCTTAAAACATAATGTATTGTATGTGGTTTTATATGAATGATATTTATCATTCCTAGTCATCTACAGGTGAGAATTACCTTTATTTACTTTCATAAATTGAAGGTAGGACAGTTAAATTAATTTTTAAATTTATGTATAATAAAAAGTAAAATTTAATAAGTAATTCATTTAATTAATTGAAAATGAGTGCTAATGATGGGTTGTTAAAAACAGTTGCCGCCAATAAACCCATTAAACAAAACGACGACGTGGCAAGTTATGAATCAATTATAACTGACACCAAGCTTCCCACTTACATAAATATCGCATTGGCCGACAACCCGACACCCTATGATTCGTGGACGCTATTAGCTACTCATTCTCCGCCGTACACGTGTCCCTCCTTCTCCACACACCTCCACGGACCGTACGGTCACATCCGCTAATTGTAAAATTTTAAAACTTATCACGTGGCTACAACAGTTATTATCACTGTATAACAAGGATATTCTCGTCTTTTTATCTTTATATTATGATCATAAAAACATTGCAAGATATAGAAAAGGATATTTGTCACACACTTTCTGTTCTCTCTGATAAGAAGAACCGACTCATTGTTGCAGATTCAGATGTCGGCAAATGTGAAATCTCGCCGGGAAATTATGATCTAAGATTTTTACAGCCATTTTTTCCGGTGTTTAGGTAAAATTGAGATATGCAAGATATACATCCGATTGGAGGTGGAGGAGGGCGGTTTTTGGGCGGTGCTGGTGATCGGAGACTAAGGCCTAATAACCACCAAAATCACCAAGCATTAAAGTGTCCTCGTTGCGATTCGCTCAACACTAAATTCTGTTACTATAACAACTATAATCTCTCTCAGCCACGTCACTTCTGCAAGAGTTGCCGGAGGTACTGGACTAAAGGCGGCGTACTCCGTAACGTCCCCGTCGGTGGTGGTTGCCGGAAAAGCAAGCGTTCAAAGCCGAAATCGACTACTGCCGACGACACACCGGAGGAACCTAAGTCTGATACTAATTCTAGTAGTGAGAGTTCCAGTCTTACTGCTACAACAACAGCGGCAGCGGCAGCAACGGCGAATACCCCCGGCGCCGCAACTACAGAAGATGTGTCGGCAACTTCTTCCAACTCTGCTTCCACTTATCTCAACTTTCCAGATTCCAATTTCTTCATACCTCACAGTACTAACCAAACCTTCGATGATCAGCCATTAATGGAGAACTCAGTCGAAGATCAGTTTCAGGACATCGGAAACTTCACAAACATGATGACGTCATCAAATGATCCATTCAACATGGTTGATATCCCGGCTTACCGATTGCCGGAGAACCAAAACTCAAACGAGCAATGGAATACAGAGACGAAGATGGTAGAAACACTGCCGACATCCGGTGAGATGAAGATGGAACAGATGAGTACGGATTTTTTGAATCAAACAGGTCGGGTTGATGAGTATCCCGGGTTACATCAAAGCAATAGTGAACTCACTCCACTGAATTGGCAAACTGGTGGAGATCATGGATTGTATGATCTAACAGGTACCGTTGATCATCAATCTTACTGGAGTCAAACACAGTGGGGTGAAAATGATAACTCTCTTAATTTTCTCCCTTGAAGGAACAAAAAATTTGGAGAGGTTATATCTTGTTAACTATGTTGGTATGTATATTCATTTATCCTATTTTTAAATTCGGTTCATGTTTTTATTTTGGGTGGAGTTAGGGTTTTGAAATTTGTAATTTCTATCATGCAAATGTAACTAACCACTCCACGCTAATTACTTTTTTTTTTGTTTAACTTTCCCGGCGGGAGTATATTTAGATATTATTGCAAATGAAAGTTTTAAGTTAATCAGGATACATAGAACGTATTGTAATTTTTGATTTGCATCATCTAAATTATTAACAAAGTTTTAGTTGTTAGCTTTCAAAATGAAGTTGAATTAGTAAAGTGAGGATACGTAGAAGTTTTTAGTTTTAGATATTTTGATGATAAGATATTAGAGAAATGTACGGATAGAAGGGATTTGAGAGTGGGGGCATGTGGTCGGCCGGTGAAGTGGGACCGCCACCCGAGCTAATTATGGTTTATACGTGGCATGATTTATGGAAGTGGAGGTACGTGTAATGATGTGATTGGTGGTGCAAGTGGGGCATATAGGTCGGTTTGTTGTGTAGTGGAACAGTTTTTCTTTGGATAGGTGACAGGCTAAGTGCAATAGGGTACTGTAGTGTAGCTGTGCAGGACTACGAACTAGCAGTGGAGTGTGGTCACATACCAACGTGCTTCTATAGTAGTGAAAATATACACACCCTACTCCCTCCCTCGATTTAAATAAATTTATTTTTATCATAAAATTTTTATACGTTTATTAAATATTTTGAATTATTAATTATTGTGATTGATGGTTAAATATTTAAAAAATTTATACGGCAATTATCAATCAAATTTTATACCGTCAATCGAAACTAATACTGTACGAGCTTGTTTATGTTAGGAATAAGATAAGATATTTCTATTTACTTATTAAGTTTTGGAGAATAACATAGAAATCTCTAATTTTAATGCAACATATTAGTTTCATCTTCAAATTATTAATTGATTTAAACATACTTCTATTTAATTAACTAAATATAGATATACCGCTCTTATGCAATATGAGATGACGAATGGTTTTGAACTCTTAAAAAAGAATGGAACGCTGAATAAATAATTCAAAAAAAGTATGAAGAATATCTTTAGACTCGACAGAATTTACTGTGTATCTCGTATGTGTATTGAAGTTCAGTTTAAGACTGTCAATAATTTAAAAATAAAATTAATAATTATGCCTCCAAAATTCTTTGCTAATGCCATCTAAGGAAAATAATAATTAGGACAGAGGGTAACATTCAATTTGTTTCACTTTGTTGTCAATTATATTTTTCATTTGTTTCCATGAGAATGTCAATCTTCGTAGCAACTTATTTTCAAATATTTGATGAGACTTATATAAGCTCATAAAAAATGTTATTTTTAAAAAATTATTTACGTATCTTTAAATTAAAATTGATAAAATAAAAGTTATTTTAGTTTTATGTCAAAATAAATTACGATGGAGAAAATACATACTCTTCGTCTTAATTCATGTGACATATTTTATTTTTTGAAAAGTAAAACAATTTAAATTTAATCGAAAACTTGCGCATAGAGTTCGAAATGAAATTCATATTCATAAAATATATTATAAATTTTAATAATTGAATAGAACGGAAGTATTTAACATTCGAAATTAAAAAAAAGTGCGACATAAATTAGAACAGGAGTAATAAGCAGCAAGTGGGGATTGATGGTGAAATGATGTAATAGAGATGACATGTGATGTGACACTATTATTGATATTATGTCACTTTGCATGTGCAGATGCGTGGGCTTCACTTCAGTCAGACTCATGCATTTGTTGTGTGTGTCCCTCTAATTCACTCCTCATTAAACCCCTACACATCCTACATTTTCTTCTTTTGCCTTCTTAGTTTTTCCTCTCTAGTTTTCTCTTTACATAAATATGTAAATTATCCTAATTTTTTTTATATTTTTTTTGGAATAAGGGAGAAATATACGTTTGAATTATCGGAATTAATATGCAGATATTTTCTTTTTTTTTACTTTTGAGATGTTGGTACTTTTACCATTTAAAAATTAAAGCATATATGTCATTCACTCTAAACGAATGTTATCTGTCGATCTGATATTTAATAGATGTTGATTCAGTAGATAAGATTACAATATGTGTATGTCCGTTAGTATAAAGAATGTGCTTATATTTTCTAATTTTTGAATAGTAGGAACATCAATGTATCAAAAGTATGACGGAGGATATCTACTTACTATTTACGATAGCTTGAAGGTATATTTATAGTTTTACCTTCTTTTTTCTTTATAATGACCACGATGTTCAGATTAATTTTTGCTCACCTTAATTAGTTTTTGGAGATACCTTTCATCTCTTATTAGCAACAAGTACATTATCTATCAAGATTAAGATATTTTAATTTTAAAGACATAACTAATAAGGTTAGACATTAATTTAGTAAAATAAATTTCTAATAAAATACTTTTTCAAGGGAGTAAATAATAACATACTCAATGGAGTAATTATCACTCATTTCCTGTCATGCTATTTCAAAGTTCACCATAGAAACTTTGATTTAATATAAACAACAAACTAATTTCTGGCTTTTATGTTTACTCAAATATTTCACCATAGAAACTTTGAACTGATAGTAGATCACTAAGTAGAATTTATTTCTTACAAGTTGCAATAAAAGAGAGAAATGTAATAGAATTAGCAGAAATCACTTGGCTTCCCAACTTTAATGTTCTGCTCTGCTAAAAATCCAACTATAGCATTTCTTTGCCAACCTTTGAAACTCCTGCGTCCACACACAAAAATAATGAACAATTTCCATGATACGTCGATTCTCATAATTACAACAAAGTTATTCAGGAGTAGACGCATTCCAAATAACTACGTTTGATGCATTGTTTACTCGAAGAATACTTACTTGTTATCGAGATGTGCTAGTACTTCTCCTTGAGGAAAAGCTGCGCTAGTAGTGTCAAAAGCAACTCTGATTGCTTGTTTCCAAGTTCCACCCACCTCCAAGTTGGACTGCGATTTGGACGGACCAGGGTCCTCCATTGGTAATGAATATCCAGCAATAAGGTGTCCAACCCAAACTCCATCTTTCCTGTATAATTCACATAATTGCAACATAATAACAGTAACTTAAGTAAACCAAACTACAACTCTTTATCAAGAAATTCATGCTTGGATTTGGTTATTACAAAAACACGAGTTGAAAAATATAATTAAATTTTATACATATTAAAGAAATGTTAAGATTATCAACGATGTGCACTTCTGCTCAATTTGGCATACTTTCAGGGTATATATGGATCTTTTTTGCTTATTAAACAGTGTTAATTAGGGGCAGCAGTTAAAGTAAGGGCATATGTGGACCAACTATTGAACGGTAAAGGCATATGTGACATGTCTGCTCGATTAAGAATAATTTAAAGGCATATTTGGCCCTTTTCCCATCAACAATAGATGAATTCATTCTACATTTTGATCGTCGCTGGCTCACTGCAAACAGTTCAAAGAAGATGCTTCAGCATCCGATTCATGTTTGAGAAGCTCAGTCAGGTTGGCTGATCTAAATGAACCAGATGAGCTTGAAGTAGCAATCATCCCATCATCAGTTGGTTTTCTTGGTTATGGTAATAGTCATAAGGAGACTATAAGCCTAAATGTTTCTGCTAAATTGAATCCAGCATTCTTGGCTTTGCCTAGAGAAACCACATGGAACTCCATCATACAATGCCTAGTTGCTCTTTAAGTAGCCTATATGTTAACAGTAAAGGCAAAGAGAGGGACTGGTTCTCTTCTACTTATGAGACAGGTAAATAATACCTGTGAAACATTGTATATATATTAAAATTTCTTTCCTTTTGAGGATTTTCGTGGTGGTATGTCATTTGTTTCCTTCCTTTTGCTGTAACGTGTTGACTCCAGTACCTCATAGTTTTTCACACAACAAGTTCCCTACACCTTGCCACCTCTCTTTTTCTCCAGGTGCTGAAGAGGTAACTATCTTTGCTTTTTAAAAAAATTTACGGATTGGGGGGGCAGGAAACACAATAAAGTAATTTCAACAGCACAACAGCTTTCTCTTACATTTACTTGAACTGTCATATTAGTAACCTGTAGTGTTCCTAGTAGAATCATCCAACTTCAATAACATATATGAAAACAAATATTTTGATGATAGTATATCAAAGGTAATACGTCTGAACTGCTTACTTGAAGCCATGGTAAGAGTTCTCAACCAGAATATCTATTTATTTGCTCATTATCTTGAATTACAGTTTCAGGTGACTGAGTAACTTACCGAACTATATCCATATGCCGTGGTACATAATGTCCCCCACCAATTCCTAGGAGAATCTTTTGCAGACAACAATTTCTGCATTTTGTTGAAAGTAGATATTGATAATGGAGAAAGATCACAAATTAACATATAATCAAGTGAATCTTCTGATCAGGATCATATTTCTTCGTTCTTGTTTCTTTTCCAGTTGAAGTAACTGATATTTTTTCTCGAGGGAATCATTTTTTTTTTTTGCTTAAATATATTCTAGCGATGAAATTGCATTCGTAAACGAGAAATGTAGATCAAAGCTACCACAAATTATTAAGGAGATGGATGAACTTCTAGTCCCACAAATGTTCATGAGGTCTGATTCTGCAAAAAGCTAGTAATGTAGAAGAAGAAATAGCAACAGTATGACCAAGATACTATTACTTGAATCGTACCTGCTCCAATCCCCCACTGCATCCCCTCCCCCGAGCCCTAGTCCTTCCCAGACTAACTGCAAACACCACAATTAGGGAAAATTACAAAAGATCCAACAAAGATGGGATAATTCCAGCATTGTTTTAGTCATGCCACTGGTTAAGCTTTGGAAATATCAAAATGCTAAGATACCAAGGAGCTATCCATATTAAAGTTGCACATATGCAGGCTTTAAAAATATATCAGATTTCCAAATGCAACAGGAAACGTGTCATCCCTAAAGAATATTCACCATCTTTACCCCACCTCCTCCATCGAGTTCCCAAAGGCCAAAGACAACAGAAACAATACAAAACGGAAGTTGAAGAAAGTGGTTAATGTAAGGTACCATCGTGAGGGATTCACAGAAGTTATATAACAACTATGGTATTTAAAAATAGAAATAAAAATATTCCTCTGATTCCTTTTTTGCAAGTAAAAGCCCATCATAGTAATGAATGCAGCACTAAAGTGTTCAGCTGGCCTGGCAAAAGCCAATGCAATGAGTAAGCATAAGACAAAGGTTTGAGGGTTTGCTTGCAACAGAAACAGATGACACATCGATAAATATTGCAGAAGAGTTTGTGCAGCAAAAGGATACCCAACTAAGGCAATGGCTTGTGCAGCATCCTGCCTCTTCCAGTACTCCTCTGTGCTGCCTACACGATAAACAAAATTTCAATTGAATAGATAAGGAAATTGCTGTGGAGAGTGTTATCCTGATTTTTGATGATGACATACTTAACCAAAACTACATAATAATGTACAAAACCCATAATTTTTTTAATAAGTTATTTTCATCAAAATGTTTTATCTCTGTGTGAATAATCGAGTTGAGTGTTTTTTTCATTAATGATTTAGTATTAGTAATATGTTAACTATTTATAGTCGATACTTGACCAATACTATGCTAACATGGAAAAGTACACAAATCACTATTTAGAAATGAAAGAAAATATATTGCAGAAGGTCAAACAAATTATTCAGACATGAAAGGTAAAAGAAAGTATACCGATCTCTACAAACATTGTGGGTGCATTAGTTACAGGACCATGATGTGTAGCTTCCAATGTGACCTACACCAAGTAATAGTCATAGAAAGGTACCCATTACAGACAGATGATTACGTCAAAGTAGATTAAATTAGAAAAAATCAAAAGGTTACACTTGTTACTGGATTGAAAATCCATGCAGCATGGGAAGATCAATCTTAAGCTCAAATCCAACATCAATTTATAATAGTTAAACGCAGTGTTATTGATCAGTAATCTAATTTAAAAAAACTGAATACATTGATTATATCTGTTCAATTTATAAAATGTCATGTTTTTTCAAGTTGGTCCATTAGTCATACTGTAATTTCAACGGTAATAATTAGTAGTCTTTTAAGACAATCCTCCTTTTTTATAACCAAGCCCGGAGGTACAGCGATGTATAAGACAATCCTTTCTCATGGTTGATTACTTCACAAATAACTATATAAATAACTTTAGTTTTATACCATCAATATCGAAGATATTCCATTGGTTATAATAATTTATTCCTTACCACTAATTTCTCTGCCCCATTTTTATCATCTTGCTTTTTTTATGAAGTGATTCAGTAAACATTTCTAATAATTAATCCAAAGTTATTGTGTCCACCAATTCTAATTTGCAAGAGTAGGAAATGTATTGTATAATTGTCATATAGCAATGGAACGTAGAATCTAATTTAGAATGGTCAATGACTACTACTCAAAAAGGAGAAAATGTAATCTTACTAAAGCAAGCATAAATGTTCTCAACTAATGTGGCAGTCCAATAGAAAGCAGAAGGGTGAAGAATGAAGACTGATCTAGAGTTATCTTAAGTCGGCATTGCAAAAGCCAGGCCATGACAAAACTATTCAGTAGTTAACAAAGGCAGACAAGCAGTTCAACTAGATTCACCTTACCACTCAAACATTCCATATAAAAGCAGTTTTTGAGTAGAACGACAGCTAATTCTTGACTACTGAGAATTAAACTAGAAACAGTCTATGCTTCAAAGGAGAAGGTAACAACCATAAAAAACCAAGATATACATGTTCACAAGAAATTTAGTTAGAAGTGCAACGAAGCAAATGGATCTCCAGTTCAATCTCCAACACTGAATCAAAACCAAGTTAAGTATTTTTATCTGAATCGAACATTCACTCTGCAATAACTAGTCAACCTAACATAAAAAAGTCAATGTTAATAAGAATGCCAAAGTGAAAAGTCACCTAAACAGGGATGTTACCTCGAATTCAGGAGTTAGATTCTGTGAGTCAGCAATAGATTTCAATAGTCTAAACCACGGTCCTATACGTGGATTCGGTGGTGCAGCCCAGGCAGGCTTCCCACCTACCGGCAGCTGGTCCCCCTCTGTTAGGTGAGGCACACCTAATGTAAACCATCCCAACACAAGTAACAAGAATTGAATACTCCACATATACAGAGAAAATAAACCATATACAGCAGAAACCATTTTTTACCTATGGGGTGAACTGTAAGTGCAGGACGATTAGATGCAGCAGTGTGCTTGCTAAGAAAGATAACCTCATCAACCGTCTCGCCTGTGGTATCTTCCCAACGCATGTCCAGGTGGTCCTCTTTCACAATGCTGCTATCATGTTTCAATAGCCTTACATCTCGATTCACAAAACTTGGCACATCCTAAGCTTATGCACAAAGCCAAACAAAATAACAGCTTTATTAGTTTAAGCATGTCTTAAAGCTTGCATCTCACTTCATCTTGTTCCTTGCGCTGAAATCATATTTATAAATTTACAATACACTTGAATCATCAAATTCTGATCTACGAGGGGACTATAAGGAAGTCGATTCATAATGCAACCGTTTACTCCTTTTTCTTATAACTATGGTGTCCAGGCTAGCTTCCATGCACCGCGACTAATCACAAGAGGAGTTTGCTACCTCCCACCAACATTAGGTATCAAGTAACTCTATCCACCAAAGCTTCTACATATGAAAAAAAAATCAACTAGTGTTTTTGGCCTTGAGATGAGCATTTTCCCCTCATCCCTTTTAGTTTGGGGACAAGTAAGTTTAAGAAAAGGATCATCACATCACACAATTATGAACAAACTTGAACTCTACAGCCTCTGCAGTCAAGTCACACCTCAACTTGAATCTCCTATTTGAGCATGAGACTTCATGATTCTCAGCCCACTTCACTGACCATTAGGTCCTTGTGTGCTACACTCCTTCACCCTTTCTTTCCTATTTGCAATCTCAAGGTATTATGACAGTCAGTGTAGAATTCATACAGCCTACCCCCAATCAGTCTAGTTGATTGATTGATAAATGGGGAGCATAAAAGGGACTAATTTCAAGAAATTGAAAATTAAGAAAAATGATAAGAGAAGAGATTGAAATTGTTACCTGAATGGGAGGACCAGGGTGCCATCCAGGCATGGCTAGAAGGGCAGATGCAGGGCCAATGGAAGCAGGGTCTATGGTGGTAGCCACTATTAGTGTCACCATTCCTCTGCTACAGCTAAGCAAATCTTGATGAAAAATGTTGCTGAAGCAATGTTTTATTGATGATATTCTTCTATGACATAAAAGCCCAATCTTGATCATTCTATAACTGGTGGATAAGCAGCACTCATCTTCCCTTTTCACTGCAAAAATGTAACCTTGCGGAGTATTTGGAGGATTATAGGATGTTTCAACTTTTGGTTCAAGAGATTAGGTTTTAGGTGGGCTATTTCACAATATAAGTTTTGAAATTTAATTAGAGATATTGTTTCAAATTAGTACTATTTCATATCATAATTTTTTTTTTATACCTTGCATAAATCACACTAGTGTAAGATCTTAAATACATTATATTTCTACTTTTTTCTATTTTACAAAAGTCACTTAAAATATTAGTCATTAAGATACTTAAGTTTCATCCGGACATTAAATGTGATACATTATAAAATTTATATGTTGCACTTATTAAGGAATATTAATGTAAAATTAATTTTATTTCTCACAAATCACTTATAACTGACTTTCTTTCTCACAAATCACGCAGATCTGATTTTCTTTTCCATAAATCACGCAAAACCTGATTTATATCAATCCATTCAACTATGTAAAAGCTTTACAAAATTCAACAATCAAAATTTTCATCTTCTCCATCAATTTGAAATCTTGAATCTCAAATTTGTCATTGTAAATAATTGGAGAGATGGTTCAGATATATTCGATTGCTTTAATCCTTACAAGGAAGTTAGTGCTATTGTGCAGCTATATCAAGAACTATAACGATCTCCATATTTTGATTGCGCCGAACAATGACTTGGAGCTAGAAAGCAATGGGTGATCTAAATCTGAATGAAAACAAGGTCGAGTTATTGTTAGTGATGATATTTACTGATGGGATCAAGCTTAACTGTTTTGTGTTTGTTTTTTTATTATAATATCATGTATTTTGTGGTTCAACTTTCTGAACAATATCTTTTCTTACTTTTGCTTTTGCAATAACATGATGATCATGAGTTTAACATGTCGTGTATTACGCTTGTTTACATTTTTATAGCACTAGAAGATAATGAAAACATCGACTTGAAATGACTCTGAATATTACTACATTGTGAATACATGTTAATCAATTTGTTTTAGTTATTGTTTACATGTTTATAGTTGTGTGTTTTACTGAATATAGAAACAACAAATGATCAAATTGAATTCATTCAATTCTTACATTTAGCAATAATTTTTATAATGTATCATAGCTAATAATATGTATCAATAATTTGTACAAAATGTATCATTGCAAACTAATGAGTATTTAGCAGTAATTTGTATATATGTATCATTGCAAAATAATGAATATTTAGCAGTAATTTGTATAAATATATCATAGTCATTAGTGTGTATCAAATTATGTATGATTGAAAATTAGATATCTATATACAATCAAATTGCATATCTTATTCGATGGAAATCAAATTAAAAATCACTTGATGGCTTTGAGAAATATTATCGATACATTATAAAGCTTGATATATTGTAAATGATACATTATACATTACTCGCGTGTCAAATCGAAGTATCAACAATAGTAGGTTATGTATCGGCATAATAAATATAAACATGATACATTGCATAGAATCCACTAGTCGAAGTATCAGTAATATTAGATTATGTATCAATATAATAACTATAAACATGATACATTGCATAAATCTCACTAGTCAAAATATCTACAACATTAGGTTAAATAAACATGGTACATTGCACAAAACATAGTCATTGTATCAAAAAACTAAATTATAAAATAAAATAGACAAGATAAATTGAAATTTGTGCCTTTGAGACAAACATGATAAGACAAATCCAACTTTGTCCCCTTTTTAGCGTTGTTTCATAATTGATTTAAAGTCGAAATCCTTCTTCAAGAATAAGATAGAACAAACATTAAAGAGTGCAGATACATAATACCCAATTGATTCTGATACTGTTTACATATCAATTTTAAATTTGAATACGATTGAAGATACATTATAGAACTTGATACATTCAAGAGTGTTTATGTATCAAATACATTTACATTAAACATGATAAACAAAATCGAATATTATCAATATTGTAAATATAAACATGATATATTACATAATAACGAAAGTTATTGTAAGAGTGATGTACCATATCAGTGATAACACTAAAAAAGACAGATTTAATATACCATAAAGTTAAAACGAATGCATTATACATAAATTTATGAATCAAAATTAACTAGATACATAGAAGATCTGAATCTTAGATAGAAAAAGGTGTTGAAACAAAGGTATTATAGATTAAAATCAATTAGATACATTGAAAATATGAAGCTCGAGCGGAGAAGAGTATTTAGTAACATATTCTACTTTTCCTTTTTTTGTATCTTTCTTAATGGGTAAGTTAGAATTTGAAATACATGTTTCATCGATTCCGAATCACAAACATGAGGGATGAGAATTTCCGTTTGTAGACGTAATCAGGTAAGACCAACACTAAATGGTGGGTTAGAATCCATATGTAACTTTCCATCGTCGTTTGACAAATAACTAATTCATCTCTTCTCTTTCGTTCTTTTTGCTTCGTTTTATTCGATATTCTTTCTGAAGATCGCCCGTACATATTTCATCCGTATATATAAAAAATTTAAAGATGAAAAAAAGATTTTGAAAAATTTATAATTAATGAATTAGAAAGAAAAAAGTGGATGAAGAAGAAGATACTGAAAAAAGAAAAAAGAAAAGATTTGAAATATGAAGAAGAAGATTGGTGAGCTGGAAAAGAAAAAGAAATGATTTGAAATTCAAAAATGGAGTGATGGAGATAATTAGTGATATCATAGAGTGATTTTAGGCGTGAAAAAAAAGAAAAAAATCGTGAGGGTGATTATTTAGAGTGATGTATCTGAAGAAGTGAAAGAAATTGAAGAAAATAGGAATATTTGTAATTTTTAAAAATGATAAGGAATAATAGAAAATAAGTTGTGAAAAGGTGTGTAGTTAGGTAATTTATCCTTCTTTTTTTTGTATTAACTTATATATTTTATATATATTATTCATGTTATTATTTGGTTACTTAATTGTAGGATCAAAATCAGAGTTATTGAAATTTATGACCATCTCATTTGTTCTATATGTACGGGTCTGATTCATTTTATGAATTATGTATGTGAAAATTTGATTTCAAAATATTTAAATATTTCAAAAAATATGTGATCATCTCTTTTAATTATTTAAACAGCTAAATATTAATATTTTTATTATTTAATTATATTTCTGACATTCATTATTATTACGATAACGAGTTAACAATTCACACTGTATTTATGTAAATAGAGTTTAGAAAGAGTCAAATGTTCCTAAACCTTATTTCTACCTTTGTTCTCTGTTTTTCTACTAACCTTGAACTGATTCTTACAGTAACAACACATACAATATATTTTACATGACTGATTCTTACAGTAACAACACATACAATATATTTTACTGCATGTAAAATTTGATAAGGATTAGTATATTATGTAATTCAGTTCTGCAACACAAAAAACTATCTATAGATTATGTTATTTTCTTAATATTATTGGAGAATGAACCTTACTATTAAAGAAAATACATTTGTTTAATCCTCGTAAAGGAGAAAACGTTAGCCGCCCGTTCATCCTCGCAACGTTTTAAAAACGAGGGCTAGTCAACTACTAGTCTAGTACTAATAGTTTATACTATTACAAACAGATTTTTTTTTAATATAATATTTTTATCAGAAAAAAATAGAGAAAATTATATATAATAAAATAATATTAATTCAAATCAAATATTGTAAATATACTTTGATTTGATTGTACCTATAGGAAACTATTGTTATTTTTGCTTCTCTCTCTAGTAGAATCTCACTCTCTACTTTCGTTTGGTGACAGTCTCGCTCGCCTTTCTCGCTTTTATACAAATACGAATGTATAAAATGCGTTTGTGCTTTTATAAAGCGAGAAAAAAAATTGTATTTATCGTTCTCCTCTCTTCCCTCTCCGAGATCTCATTCGCCACTCTCCCAAATCTCGTTCGCCACCCTTGCCTCTTTCGCTTATATAAACAGAAATGAAATGTATAAATTGTATTTTTGTTTGTATAAAGTCAGAGAAAATTGTATATACACATGCAAATATATATATCTTCGTCCTATACACTTAAAATTATAGAATATAAATATTTCTATGTCCAGTGTTCTTTTGTCTTTCTCTTTCACGTTTTATACATACACAGATTATACAGTTGATCTTTTCTATACATCTGCTTTCTTTTATATATATATATATATATATAGTGAATTATATAATTATTTTCTTTGTATATGTATAGTTATTCTTTTTTTTATATGTATAAAGAATTATATAACTGTTTTTTTAGTATATATATATAGCAATATATATATATTTATATATTTATTATGGAGCGCAATTATACAAATTATAGTTATAACATACAAATATAATTTTTATATTTCTTATATGTGAAAGTTACTCAAAAAAATACATTTAAAATATCATTAACAATAACAAAGGTTTTGTTTACACAATTCATAAAAATATTTTTGAAATAAAATAATTATTAACTATTCGAATATTTTTGCATCGAATTATTAATCACGTGAGCATTGTTTTTTTCACCCTTTTTGGTACTTTATATGAGACGTAGAGCACAAATCATGTGTTGTGTTACTCATCTTCTCTCTTAAAACCCATCACCAAAACAAGAGGGGCACTAATAATATTGGTGAGTATGGGTTGGGCTATCGCACTGCACGGTGGTGCCGGTGACATTCCCCGTGATCTTCCACCGGAGCTCCGTCAACTCAGAGAATCCTGCCTCCGTCGTTGCTTGGACATTGCCATTGATGCTCTTAATTCCCACAAATCACCTTTAGACGTTGTTGAACTTGTCGTATGTATATTGCTTTCTTCTTTTGTTTAGTTGAGCATTTTGAACTAATATGTAAATCCTGAATTCGTACTCGTAATCACTATCTAAAAGAAGCTTCTATTTTTTTTTATAAAGATTAGTGTGATCTAACTTGAATCAAACAGGTGCGGGAACTGGAAAATGACCCACACTTCAACGCTGGTAGAGGTTCTGTCTTGACGAACAATGGCACAGTAGAAATGGAAGCTTGCATCATGGATGGAGGTACAAAGAACTGTGGAGCAGTTTCTGGTCTCACTACAGTTGTTAATGCTGTGTCTCTGGCTAGGCTAGTCATGGAGAAAACTCCACATATATATCTTGCGTTTGAGGGAGCCGAAGCATTTGCTAGGGAACAGGTTTGTGAAAATAATGTTCATTAGTCGTAGATACCAAATGTTTGCCTTTGTCTAGTAACTTGACTTAAATTGCTAATTGTGGCGATTTTGTTATCCAGGGGGTTGAAACTGTAGACTCCAGTCATTTTATCACTCCGCAAAATATTGAGAGATTGAAACAAGCAAAAGCAGCTAACAGTGTTCAGGTATGCTGCCCCGTCCTCATTGCTAGAATGTTCGCGTGTTCATGTTTGATAGTTGGATTTGGAATCGACATTGCATTAATGAACTGCTGTTTTCTTTTGATTGGGATTGTTTAATGCTTCATAGTTCATATTATGATATCAATCAAAATCACTCAAAAGTTGTTTAATCCTTGCTTGTGACTTTAGTCTATCTCCATATGTCTCGTCTCGTTTTGTGTTAACATTGAATGATACTCAGTCTCGGAGTTAATGTCAAACATGTATGCAATCAACTTTTCAGGTAGATTATACACAGCCTATGCCAATAGTTGATGAACCACCAGTTCCCAATGGGGATAGCCAAATTGGGACGGTGGGATGTGTAGCTGTTGACAGTGCTGGAAATTTAGCGGCTGCTACGTCTACTGGAGGACTAGTAAACAAGATGGTTGGTAGAATAGGAGATACTCCCCTTGTTGGTGCAGGGACATATGCAAATAAATTCTGTGCAGTGTCTTGTACAGGCAAAGGCGAAGAAATTATCCGCGCAACTGTAGCAAGAGATGTGGCTGCCCTAATGGAATACAAAGGACTTACTCTAAAGGAAGCAACAGATTATGTTATAAAAGAATCTACACCAAAAGGGACTATTGGCTTGATTGCTGTGTCTGCCACAGGGGAAGTCGTCACACCATTTAACACTACCGGCATGTTTAGAGCTTGTGCTACTCAAGATGGAAAAACAGAAGTAGCAATTTGGTAACTTTGAGGTAAGGAGTTAGTCTTTTCCTCAAACTCGAGACATTTTGAATATTTCATATATGCTTAAATTTTAGGGATAATGCACAAGTAGCCCCTCAACGTATATCCGAAATCTCAGAGACACACATATAGTATATTAAGGTCCTATTATCCCCTGAACTTATTTTATTAGTAATTTTATACCCCATTTTCGGCCTACGTGGCACTATTTTGTGGGTCCAACATTGACTGATTTTTTTTTTCAAGCTAATTTCACGTAAGCCAAAAAGGGGTAGAAAATTACTTATAAAATAAGTTCAGGGGCTTATAGGACCTTAGTATAGTATAAGTGTGTCTCTGGGATATGAGCATAGGTTTGAAGGGATACTTGTGCATTTTTCCTTTATTTCAATAATTTATAATTTCCTTGCTTTTTTGATATAAAAGGTCAACTTTTCCAAACATCCAAGAACTAATCCGTTAAGGTGTATATATCAAGGACCAAAATGTATCAACACTAATAGATTAAGGATCATTTTCTTGATAAGGACTTTAAGAGTAAAATATAAAAGACAGCTTTAAACAGCATGAGTCAGTTTGATTAGTAGGTATACAATCTGCAAGATCAGATGTACCTTGAAAAAGTATAAGTGGGTACAACTTGTTGGCCGGCAGTAGATATTATTATTAATATTACTCCATTATTAATTCCCAATTATTGTAAGCAAGAAATAGAATTGATGAAATCAAGATACCATAGACTGAGAGAAAGATAAATAATCTCTAAAGAATATAGTTTCTTTTATCTTAATCATGTCAGAGGATTCAAAGAAGCTCTCTGATGAACTTCCAACAGAATCACCACCAGCCCCATTACCAATTCTTGGTTAGCTTCTCTACTCATTCTCCTTCTAAAATTTGTATATAATTCTTCTATGTTGTTCCGTCGTCAAGTGCGTGTCAGATTCTTCAAAAGTAGACCATTCAGAAAGATCTTATAACATTTTTGGAGAGTTTGAACAACATAGATAATATGTGTATATCCAATAATTCAGTATTGTTGAACGGATTGTTTTCGAATACAAACTTGTACCAATAACATTCAGTTCAAGATGTGTATATATATAAGATATTACTATTCTGTTTGAACTCACCGATTCTAGATCTTTGATTCGTCTACGATTTGTAGTTCTGTTTTATAGTAATATAAAAACAAATTTTGGAACAGATTTGAGTAGCCCACCAGCTGGTAAAATGTCATGGCCAGAATTGCTAGGAGTGACAGCAGAGGAAGCAGAGAGGAAGATAAAGGAGGAGAAACCAGAGCTGAAGATACATATAATTCCACCTAATTCAATGGTGACTATGGATTATCGTTTAGACCGGGTTCGTCTCTTTGTGGATGAATCTGGAAAAGTTGCTCAAGAGCCTAGACTTGGTTAAATCACATATTTCCTTGTATAACATTGAGGATCAAAGATGTCTCCTTTGCTTTTCTATGTGACTTAAATGTTGTATTACTATGTATAATGTGTATGTTTATGTCTATCTAATCTGGTTTCTCCATGGATTGTGAATAAAGGTTGGCAAATGAACTATCATGTCCATAGGTTCTTGTTTTTACAAAGTAAAAATGCTTCTTTACGTAATATGTGGATATGGTGTCGTGGGCTGAGACATCACGATTTGTAATGTTCATATCAACTTACGCGTGCGTAACCTTATATCAGTATAACCATTAAAACTTAGACGAATGAAAAGAAATCACTTACCTCAACGATTGGTTGTTTCAGTTTGCATTAGCTGATATTTTCAAGTAGCCCACCATCTCCATGTGATTTCTCTACTCTCTTACATAATACAGTATATTTTGTACTAATAATTTTCGAACAAAACTACCAAATCTTTAATTAAATGGAAACATTGGTTAGTGGCTGCACAAGTAGACAAGTGGGTATAAATCATAAGGGATTCAACTTGCTGGCGGCATATTGAAATTTTAGACGTCACACATTTTTAAATAATATTATTGAATTTTTTAAATTATTTAAAAAATATTTTTAAAAAGTCCTAACAATACTAATACGTTTAGGCATCAAACACATTTTACATCAAATATCTAAATAAGTAATTAGTTATCCTACGGAACCAGGATTACAAGTTTAGGGTTATAAATTTCCCTTAAAAAGGAGAGAAAAGGGAGGGTTCGAACTCACGACTCTGTCGTGAAAGTACTTCCTTCCTCAGCAGTAAGTTACTTGTATATTTATTTAATTTTCTAATAAAATACAAAATCTATGAAAAAGTTATTGAGTTCAATCTACATTCAAAACCATCAATCCCACTTAGCTCCTCCGCCTTCAATCCTACTGTTTGATCTCAATTAAACATAAAATAGACTTATTTCAAAATTATTTATTATATTCCCTCTGTTCACTTTTATTTATCATGCTAGGTTTTTTCTAAGGTTAATTTGACTAATTTTTAAAGACAAATTAGATTACGTTAATTTATTATTTTTAAGAAAAATTAGATATTCAAAAACTATACGAAAAGTACTATAAATTATAATTTTTTACATATCAATATGATAAAAATATATATCATAAAATATTAATCAAAGCTCTTATAATTTGAGTCTAAAAAAAACAATGATATGGACGGAGCATTAAAAGAAAAAAAAAGGAGGAGGAAAACCGGATATTTTTATTAAAAAATAGATAAAGACGAGGGCGAAATTTATGGGATTGCGCAATTCGACGCCAAAATAATGTGAAACGCACAAAACAACACGGCTCTCTTTTAATGTAATGTATTAATGTAAGATATTCAAAAAATATCGAGAAATTGGTGAGCATCCTTCTCTTTCACCTTCCGCCACCGCCTGGTGGTTGGTGACCTCTTCTTCTTCCTCCTCACTGGTTCATCAGGTAACGCTTTTTTGTTTTTTATTTTGGCTGATATCTCTCCCTAAATCCAATGTTGTAATTTGGCGATAATGGAGGCTTAAATCGTTATCATTCAACGAACCCAACAACGTTATTGTTTGCAAGTTTAAATCTTTATCAATGTACAAGCTACAGCCTCTTATATGGAATTTACTGTGGAGCTAATAGTTGAAAGGGGAGAAATTGTCAACTTTTAGGAACAACAATAATAGCTAAGCCTTAATTTCAAATAAGTTGGGGTATTGGGAATGATTGTAAATAGGAAAAATATGTTTTGTATTATTGGTAGGTAAAAAATTGGGAACTTAGATAGTAGATTGAGGACGGGTTTTGTTGAAGCATGGGTTGGATGATGAACTTCACCTTCTTTCATGGGGTCAATTATACATAAGTTTATCTGGCCAAGCTTTTGCGATGCCAAAAGTACTTATTTTTGTAAGAAAATATGCTTTTTTTAGAAAGTTGAGTTGTTTGGCGAAGATTTTAGGTGAAGTGTTTTTGAGCGTTGTTTTTTTTAGAAGCCAAAAAAGTAGCTTATCCCCTTAAGCACTTTGGAACCTTGGATAAACAAGATTTGATTAACCAATCATAAGCTGCTCTCTCAAAAAGTGCTCTTTTTTTCTAAAAGCACTTTCAAAATAATCAAGACTTTTGAAGTATGTCTTCTGTATCCATTCTGCTCTTTTTCAGTTGATAAATTTAGTGGTCTATAAAGGTAGAGATTCTCTAAATGTGATGTTGTGATAAATGTAAGTTAAAGTGTTAATTAAGCTTTACCAGAAGAAAAGAAAGAATCTCTACTTGTTGTATGTTGTTGCTTGCATGATGTTTGTGGTCATAAATTGGGATCATGAAGCTATCACCCATTAGGAAAGTAGACATGAGAGGCTTCATTTGGTGAGTTCTACTTTGTTGACGTTGTTAGATAGGAATAAGAACAAGAATAATATATATAATTCTACTTAAAATAGGAATTGAAATAGTATATGGAATCCTACTTGAAAAAGGATTGTAATGTAGTATCCTAGTTGAAAAAAGAGTCTAACGTAGTGTCTGTAAATGCAATAATTAGATACACAATTCAATAGTATTATTCTCCTGTATTTCTCATAGACATATTTATGCCCCTCGGATTGCTTTTGCAGGATTAAGGAGGGGGAACTTGGGGCCTAAAATGGAAACAAGATCAGAAAAATTTTCTGTTGATTTTCTGATGGGAGGAACAGCAGGCATTTTCGCAAAAAGTGCTGCAGCACCAATTGAGCGAGTAAAGCTTTTGTTGCAGAATCAAGGAGAATTAATGAAGAGGGGTCAACTTAAGAGACCATATGTGGGAATTGGTGATTGCTTTCAAAGAGTTCTGCAAGACGAGGGTTTTATGTCATTGTGGAGGGGAAACCAGGCCAATGTTATAAGATATTTCCCAACTCAGGTGGCGATTCCTCCTCATCTCCTTGTGATGTTTTAGACCTCTATCTCTATATTACTTGACTTTCTATATCAGTTCTTAGCACACTGAACAGTTAACCTTCATGTTTCACTTCCCCCTGAAATACCACCTAAAATTAGATTGATGAAGTCCAACTTATTGATTAAAAATGTAGATGTAATGCTTCAGGGAGTTGGTGTCTCCCCTGGTTTGTGAGACTAGTCACCGCTCTACTATTGCCCCTGATATCTGCTAAGGTTTTATACATAGTTTTGGTTAGTTCAGCTTATCTTGGAGATAAGGTCTATTACTCTACTTTGGCAATCATTTTCCTTATCCACTAAAAATTATCATAATCTTTTGCCTTGGACTAGGACATTTTGGTGATGGCTACTCTAGTAAGTCATCCTTTATGTGTTTCTTGATTGTATTCACAGTGTTCTCTGAATGATTCAGACTCCTTCTAAGTCCCCCCAAACAAGGTCTTTCTTAATTACCATGTCAACTTTAGTGAAAAACCTGCAGCTTCTTAGTTAAAACTCTTATGCACAGGTGATCCATAAGATAACCAAATCTAACATTGTCTGCTATAAAATGTGCCAAAGCGACAATTTTACAAAGCAACCAATAGACTCACCCAACACTCACTTCATGCTAAGTGTTATGAGAAAAGTTCCATTTTTGAAACCTGTGGGTTTATGCCTTGTGTTTTGAGAGATAACGAATAGATGTTGGGAGAGTGTAACTATCTTTCATTAGCTCGTGTTTAGCTGCATGTATGTATTTACTCGAGGAACTATTCATTAGCTCATGTTGTGTCACTAGTATCTAAGGTGAAAGAAGAACACCAATATGCACAAGGATGTGACTAGGCGAATGCCCACTTATTGGGGGTTGGGTCATGAAACGCTTCCTCACATGCTTGTTCAGGACATTTACAGCATGCCTTGTATTATTGTGCGTTTGAGTCTGGAGTCTGCCATTTAAATATTGGTTTCTTTATTCATTCAAAGTTAGCACCATTCTGGGCAACTATCCTTAGACTCTACTCATCGGTTCGTCAAATGGATGTACCCAATATGACCAGATCCAAATGATCTTCTCATAGCTTAGTCTGAATGGAAAATTACTGTTTTACTGTTGCGTCAGATGGATTATAGAAGAGTATGGTATGCGGTATGCGTAGTAGATTGCTCACACACTTTCTTTTCAAGAAAGTAGTAATCTGTGATCTTTCCTGTATTATTTTGCTGGGATGTGTTCGGTCAAGCTACATTCATCTCTATTGCCGAGTTTTGGTTGAATATGGGCTGTTAATGCTGAAAGATACTGTATATGTGATGCACTCTATCTATTATAAAGTCCTCTTTGCATCACTTAAATAGTGTCTTGCATTCCTTTTTCCTTTTGTTTCTTCAATCATGCTTTGCATCCGCAAAAAGATTGTCCTTTTCACAATTGCATATAGTGCGAGAATGAATTATAGAATCAAATAATTGATGGAAATGTTTCTGTACTTAAATCTTAATATTGTGAATTATAGTTTCATATGCATTTTATCAGTAATTTCTCATAGATATTATTTTCAATTGTTCAACTAAAATAATATTTGATGAGCTTACAATTGTTTCTTTCACAGGCTTCCAACTTTGCTTTCAAAGGTTACTACAAGAACCTCTTTGGATATTCAAAAGATAAAGATGGATATGTGAAGTGGTTTGCAGGCAATGTGGCTTCCGGTAGTGCTGCTGGAGCAACGACATCCATGCTCCTTTATCACTTGGACTATGCAAGGACTCGGCTGGCGATGGATGCTCAGGATTGTCCACTTAATGGTAAACGTCAGTTTAAGGGGCTAATAGATGTTTATGGTAAGACATTGTCAAGTGATGGAATTGGTGGCCTCTATCGTGGTTTTGGAGCCTCAATTATGGGAATAACCCTGTACCGAGGCATGTACTTTGGGATTTATGACTCCATGAAGCCAATTGTTTTAGTTGGACCCTTAAAGGTAAATTAGATTGTTAGATTGGCACTTTTCTGGTTGGAATTTTTTTCTTTGTTATTGCACCATTTCCTTCTTGTCGATATAGTTGAGCCAACTTAATAAACTATAAACAGCTTGTGCCTGTAGTATGACTTGAAACATTAATTCCTCAATATCCTTCATACGAAGAGAGACAAGGGCAAATGAGATAAGGAGAAATAAAAAGTTGTTATTTACATAAAATTTGGTATTGGTGGGGGAAGGGATGTAAATTTGTTATGTTGCTGATCTTCTATAACAGGGAACATGCATATGACCAGTTAAAGTACGGGAGCAGAAACTAATTTCAACCTTCGTTTGTATACACAGGACAATTTTCCTGCCAGTTTTATGTTGGGTTGGAGCATAACCACTTTCTCTGGGGTGTGTGCCTACCCATTTGACACAGTCCGCAGAAGAATGATGCTAACTTCAGGGCAGGGAACAAAGTATCAGAATTCCATGCATGCACTCCGTGAAATTATACGCCTTGAAGGTTTTGCTGCACTTTTTAGAGGAGTAAGTGCAAACATGCTT